ATAGAAATTCCATATGACTATTTGGAGTGTACTCTGAGAAAATGAGAACTGAGGCACAAACAGAGATTTATACATCAATGTTCATAGTAGTATTATTCACCATCATAAGAACATGGAAACAGCCCAAATGTCCAACCACAAACGAATGGACTGAGAATTTATGGTACATTCACTCAATGGAATATTATGCAGCACTCAGGAATAATGATTTGGTTAATTATTACCTACCTTGGGAGGGACTGAAGAGTATTATGCTGAGTGAACTAACTCAGTCCCACAAAGATAAATATTGTATAAAATTATTATTGTAGAATGAGTATGAGGATCAAGAGGGGTGGTAGAGGGTAGAAGCAGAGGGATGAGGATGTGCAGGGGGAGGGGAGAATTAATAATAGGGTTGCACAGTTTGATAGGTGGAGGAGTGAGGGAAATTGAAACAATTTGTTCTTGGAAAAAATGTACTTGAATTATGTAAATAAACTAGTAGAAAATGAAAAAAAATCACATTAAATGTAACAAAGTCAAAGTCTCTTTTCTTCTATTTTGCCCCAGACTTTATACAAGGCTATAAATTTTTAAGGAAAGAGATTGTCTTATATTTCTTCTTCACATAAGTTAATGAGTTTGATTCACTGACTTTTACAATGGATGGCACTGTAATTACTGTGTCCTTATGGCTCCTTCAGACTAAGATTAAATTTTTGAATCTCAATTTTCTTATATGTAAATTTGGCATAATAGGATTCTGTTTAAGATTACATAAGAATGACGTGTGAATATATATAAAAAGAATCTGCTGTGTTACATATTGCTTCCCTGGTGGTATAGCAAGGGAGCTTTGATGGTCTAGTGGCAAGAAGCTGCACGGCAATCCTGAAGCCACAAGGTTCGAGGCCACCAGCTGCTCTGTAGGAAATGGACAGGCAATCTCCTCCCATGTGATTAACTGCTTCTGAAAACCTGCCGGAGGGTCAGCTATGGGTTGGCTCCAACTCAGTGGTACACAACAACCCTGGTGGTGTTGGCAGCCGCACTGCTAATCAAATGGTTAGAAGTTTCAATCGACCTGCATAGTGAATACAATTAATCATACTGAATCTTACTTGCAAAATAGGTGAAATGGCAAATGCTTTGTTCTATATATCACACCACAATAGACATTTAAATAATAACTCTGGAAAAAACTCTCTGAAGCATATTTATGGGGTACAGGAGTAAGTTAAATAGCAAGCCAATTGAATTTTAAGTCACCTGGATTTTATTCCTAGAGGTACTAAATCTAGTTAAGAGTATTTTAAATATAATTTCTCTTTCCATACACTTCGCCAACACAATTCAAAGGCTTTGGTTCTTCTTCTGTCATCCATATTCATTGTCCAACTTTCAGATGCATAAGAAGCAATTGAAAAGATCTCTGTTTGGATCAGTTGCATCTTAGTCTTGAAACTGACACCCTTGCTTTTAAGTACTTTTAATAGGTACAGACAGCAGATAGTCTTAACATCACACATCTTTTAATTTCTTGACTACTACTACTGTGGGTTTCGAGTGAAATGATGTTGTTGAAGATGCCATTTTCCCCCCCACTTATCATGATGTTGCCTACTAGTCCAATGGTAAGGATTTTTGTTTTTGCAATGTTGACATGTGACTCATTTGAAGGCTATATTCTTTGACTTTTTTTTTTTGCAGCAAGTGTTTCAAGTCCTCTTCTCTTTTAGCAAGCAAGACTGTAATATCTATATATTATATATATCATTATATATATAATATATAATGTATATTATATATATAGATGTATATATATATAAAATATATATAATAATGCACATTGTTGATGAGTCTCCCTCCAATCCTGATGCCACCTTACTTTACATAAAGTTGAGCTTTGTGAATGATTTGTTTATCATACAGACTGAACAGTTTGGAGAAAGGTTATGACCCTGATGCAATTTTCCTGATTTTAAACCAAAGCAGTGTTCCCTTGTTCTGTTTGGATAACAGCTTCTTGGTCTATGTGTAGGTTTTGTGTGAACACAAAAAATCAGTGTTCTGGGATTTCCATTCATCCCAATATTAGCAATAATTTATGATAATCTACACAGTCAAATGTCTTTGCATAGTCAATAAAACACAAATAGACATTTTCCTGCAATTCTGTTTCAGCCAACATCCACCTGACATCAGCAAAGAAATCCCTCTGCCTGACATCAGCAGTGAAATCCCTCTGCCAAGGCCTCTTCTGAGTCCAGCTAGATAGAATTTCTCGCAGTTCCCTAGTGATGTACTGCTCCAGTCATTTTAAAATAATCTAAAGCAAGATTTTACTTGCATATGATAGTAGTGATACTATTCAATAATTTCTACATTCTGATGGATCACCTTTATTTGGAAAGGGAACAAATATAGATCTCTTCTAGTCAGTTGGCCAGGTAGCTGTCTTCTAAATTTCTTGATATAGACTAGTAAACATGCCCAGGGCTACATCTGTTTATTGAAACATGTTGATTGCTACTCTATCAATTTCTGGGGCCTTTTTTTTTTTTTGCTAATGCTTTCAATACTTTGGGCATGTTGCAAGGAGGGACTGGTCCTTGGAGAGGGACATCATGTTTGGCAGAGTAGAGGAGCGGCGAAGGAGAGGAAGACCTTCGATGAGATGGATCGATTCTGTGACTGGAGTGGTGGGAATGAGTGCGTTTGAGACGGCTAGGTTGGCAGAGGATAGAACAGCGTTTAGAGCTCTTGTATATAGGGTTGCTGAGTCTCAAGCAACTCGATGGCACATAACAATAACAACAACAATGCTGTCAATACTATTATAATTAAATGTGGAAAAAAGCTGGAGTTAGAAAATCAAAAGGGAAGGAAATGCTTGGCATAGCTCAAGCTAAAAGAACTTAAAAACAAATTCAAGCCTTGAGTTGCAATGCTGAAGGGTCTATGGGCAAAATTTTGAATGATGCAGGGAGCATCAAAAGAAGATGGAAAAGAGTACACAGAATCACTGTACTAAAAAGAAATGATGGACATTGAATCATATCATAAAGTAGCATATGATCAAGAACCAATGATAATGAAGGAAAAAGTTCAAGTTGCACTAAAGGCAATACTAAAAAATAAGGCTTCAGGAATTTATGGCATACCAAGTGACATGTTTTAAGATTAGTTTGTGGGTTTTGGGTTTTTTGGTTTTGTTTTTTACATATGGTAGATTACATGGTGCTTTTACCAAAATTACTGGCTGAAATCCATTGTTGCTTTTTATTGTTTATTCTGAGCTAGCTTTCAAATGGCAGTCAGCCAGAATATGTTAGAAAGAGTGTGGGCTTCTCTTAAACTCCCTCCTTCCGTAGCTTGATCCTGTGAAAGACAAGATGCTCTTCCATTTTAAAAATATTCCTAGATTTACAAGACCTCAACTGGGTCAAACTTTAATAAAACCGTGCTCACAGGACTTTCAAACTATCTGGTATCTGTTCAAGTACGGTTTTGTAATTTTGTTGTTGTTGTTGATTGACTTCGGGTCAAGCACAACTCATAGCGACCCTATAAAGAAGAGTCCTGAACTCCTCTACAGCTATCGACATTTATCAAATTTGTAATTATAGCCAATTAAACTTTTTTCTTTTAAGTTTCTGGATTTTCTTTATTTAAACTCTATGAAGGATTACTGTCACCAGAGTACTTTTATGAATGCTTATAATGTGCTGCCCAGTCTGGATAATTCTGTAACTTCAGCTAAAATCATTACCTTAATTTTAACAGAGAGTGTAATTTGCTTTTTGATATACCCAAATACTTAGGATGTTCTTTTTCTTATTTCCTTCTTTGCCAAGGAATATATTTTCTTTCTCCATGAAAAATACAACTGGTTAACATTCACTTTAGTACAAAAAAAAGGGGTTTCTAAAGTTTTCTCTTTCTTTAATCCTTAAAAAGAACAGGGAGGGAAAAAAGGGGGGAAAATCCTCCAAAACTCCAACACTTCCAAGAGAATATTTAAAACAAGCTACATAAATTTGGGATTCGTATTTTTTAATTTTTTCAGTAACCATGATGGTGCTGCTACTTAAAGACTGATAATTTAAATCTGTCAGCCACTCCATGGGAGAGAGATGAAGCAGTTTCCTTCTGTAAAGACTGACAACCTTGGAAACCCTGTGGGGCAGTTTGGTTCTGTCCTGTAGGTTTGCTGTGAACTGGAATTTCCTTGATTGGATAGTAATACATTTGGAGGGTGCGTGTGTGTGTGTGTTACATATATGTGTATAGTTATATATAAGTAAACATATGTGGAGAAGGTTAAACCAGGAAGGCAAAGATTCTGAAACTTCATCTGACATACTTTGGACATATTACAAGGAGGAATCAGTCCTTGGAGGAGGATGTCATGCTTGAGAGGGTGGAGGGACAGCACAGGAGAGGAAGACCTTCTATGAGGTGGTTTGATTCAGTGACTGGGTAATAGGGGTAGGTGTGTCAGAGAGCAGTGAGATTGGAACAGGATAGGGCAGGGTTTAGGGCTGTTGTACATAGGGTCGAGATGAGTCACAGGCAACTTGACAGCATATAACAACAACAACAACATGTGTATATTTATATACTTCATTATATTTTTATTCATTAATTTTTACTTTTTATCAAGCAAATGTCCTGAATGTTTTCTTGAATTTCAAAGGAGGCCGGGATTAAATAAAAAGAGAGAAAAAAGATGCTTGAAATATGTCAGTTATTAATAAGGATAGAGAAGACGACAAATGAAGAAATAAGGAAAAGAAGCATATGAGGAACAAATGAACTGGGGACTCAGGTGACCTGAGAAATTTAGATACTACCAAACTTGGGAGGGAAAAGATGAGATCACCATGGAAATGCTATTTTTATGTACTTTGGTTATAACCATGAATAAAAACAGACATAGCTTTATCCCACCAGTTAAACAAGTTATATACTCACTTATTTAGAGACTTACATATTGTGTGATCTAACAACATTACCTCACCAGATCCTTATAGATAAGTTTTGTTGTCTCCAGATATGGATTAAGCACATCTTCATACTGACACAGGGCTCCACCAAGGCAAAGATGTTTGAAAAGACGGAATAGGAATTCATCTCTATCTGGTTGGCTGAATATTTCATATTTTTCTGAGTCTTCCATTAGCAAAACCTATGTAAAACGATAAATTTATTCTAATGTAACATAATTTGAAGTTCTAATATATGTTTTCAAAAGTTTTCCACTTATATACTTAAAATCAAATTGTAGGGGGTGCAGGTGAAATCTTTAATATTTATAGCAGGCAAAGAATTATATTGCATGGCCATCAGGAATGTGTAATTCAATGGAACAGTAATATATGCTCCATTTTAGGCTGCTGTAATTTTTCATCCAATTAGTTTTTCATAGTATCCACAACATCTTTATCACAATAGAGTTTACCTCAAATGATAAGAGTTTAGCAAACTAAAAAAAAAGGTTTCCATTTTAGCAACAGTACTCCCAACTTTTTTCATATACCATTAATAAATCTGTTTACCCAATCCTAAAGCTAGTCACGCTCCAGTCATACAATAAAAATTATCTTTTTGACTTAAAGTTTTAAAATATGGGAGCTCTGGTGGCCTAGTGGTAAGAAGTTGTGCTGCAATTCTTAAAAGTTTTAAAAAATATATAACTATTGTCTTTATAAATGTCTTATTAAACAGTTGGTATTTCTAGAATTGTCGTGACTACCTTTTTATTACTCTCAATAGACGGCAGCAGAGGACATTAGAGCCTTCTGGAATGTTGTGGCTGAAATGAAATCCATATGTGGGAAGGGGTTTTTTGTTTTTGTTGTTTTGTAGCTGTAGATCTGATGAAGGTTTTACGTTTGTAAGCCTGGCAGTTTTTTTCCTCCTATATTTTCTGATTCTCCCTACAGTCAGTCTGTTTCAGTCACCCTGGTGACCTCATCTCCATTTCAGATGGCAATTTTAATCACATGCAGAGGTTCTGAGGGCTCTTGTGTCCTTCTTAAACTCTCTTAGAAGTATTTTGATAAATAAACTTGAGAAATTAGAATGATATTGGAATTTATATTTATTTCGACTACATTTTATCATTAGGTGGCCTAGTGGTTAAAAGCTGTGCTGCAATCACAAAGGCAAGTGGGTTGAATCCACCAGCTGCTCCACTGAAGGGACGGGACTCTTTTGTGATTTATTGTCTCTGAAAATCTGGAGGGTCAACTATGGTATTGGTTCTGACTTAACAGCACAGCAACAACACTTCCTCCAAGACATAAGAAAGGTCAAAGACAACCCTAAAAAAAAAACCCCAAAAATGATTAGGTTATGGAGATCACCAGGGCAATGCTATTTTTATACACTTTGGTTGTAACTTGGCATGAAAACAGATAGAACTTAAACGCACAAAGGTTAAGCAAATCACTCATTTATCCAGAGACTTTAATATTGGGATCTAGGAGCATTATAATAAGTTAAGTTCATTTTAGGGAAGGTCAGATGAAGACTCTCAAAAAGATGGATTGACACAGTGACTATATATAACAAGGACTCTGAGCATATCAGGGGTGGTGAGGATGACACAGGATAGGGAAAGGTTCAGATCTGGTTTTCATGGGCTCACTATGAGTTGAAGTAAACTTTACGGCACCTAACAACTATCTCAGTTCTCCTCTACTTCTAATTTAGAATCTAATTTCTCTTTACACAGAGAAAATACAGATTTTTTTTCTTTTAAAGGTAGACTTGCCTGCAGACAGAATTTCCTAAGTTCTATCTGTCTTATTTATGACCATGAATAGCACCTCAATTAATAAAGATTTCTGACAGTTTTTCTGCTCCTTAGTTGGTTGGCTGCTTAGCTCTTATACTCTTTCACTCTGTGGCAAAAAATGAGAGTTTTAACATGTTTTATGAATGGTAAATATAAAATTAATAACAATAACTTGCAGCTGTAGGAAAACAAAAAGATTGTCCCTCGCCCATTTTATAGCAACACAGCTGTGCTGGCACACGGGGCAGTGCAGGTCCTATACCACACAGGGAGAAGGACAACCTCCTTAAGACTGCTGTGGTTCAGAAATTTCCTTAGTTAACTGTTGACTAAATCCAAGCTCATTGCCCTGAACTACATTACTACTTACAGCAACCCTGTATTCTGAACTGTTTGAGAGCAAAACAAACAGATCTATATGCGAATGGAAAGGAAGAAGAGCCGATATTTTTAAAACATGAAAAAGTTACCATTTTAAAATTCATTCAAAAAAGTTCTTTTCTTGTTATTTAACGTTTAAATATGCATTGCTTAAGCCATTCAAATGACAGACACAGCCCTGGATGTGTTACTACTCTATGCCAAGAAATTGGAGGAGAGCTGCCTGGCTGACCAACTAGAAGAGATCCATATTTGTTCTCATTCTCAAGAAAGATGGTAGAGCAGAATGTGGAAATTATTTAACAGTAACATTAATATCACATGCAAGCAAAAAACTGCTGAAGATCATTAAAAAACATAGCTATAACAGGGCCAAAGTAATTTAGAAAATATAAAACTAAAACCAATAAATGAAGTAGGAAGAGAAAATAAATACATGGAAGAATATTTAAAACCATTTTTATTTTACATTGTTTGCATACAAAATTCATAAACATTTGTGCTTCACAGTTTACTTCATTCATACTGTTTCATACAATCATTCCCATACACTGTGTTCTATAAAATTAATTCCCATTGAATTATGTCCATTACCCCATCTTCTCAGGTCCCCACCAGATCTTTCCCATTCGTGTCTTTGTGTTTGTGTGTGGGGGGGTGTGTATTTGTCATTTCCTCCTTCCCCCCCCATTTCCTTTAACCCCTCCCTCCAATTCATCAAGCTGTGCAACCCTGTGATATCCCCCATGCCCATCCCCATGCTTCTGCTCCCATTCTTTCTCCCTGTTAGGACCCCCCATTTATGTTTTACTAATCGCCCTTCTATTTTCACAATAATGGTCTTACATGATATTTGTGCTTATGAGATTGAGTTTATTTACTCAGCATAATGCTCTCCAGTCTCTCCCAATGTAGTATTTTTTGAAATCGTTACTCCTGAGTGCTGCATAGTATTCCATCATAGAAATGTACCAAAATTTCTCAAACCATTCGATTTTGGTTGGATATTTGAGCTGTTTTTATATCCTTGCGATTGTGAATATCACTGTTACGAACATTGAAGTACAAACCTCTGTTTGTGTCTCAGTTCTAATTGTGTTGTCAGTTCTAATTGTGTTGAAGTATGTATATACCTAACAATGGAACAGCTGGGTCATGTTGAATTTCTATGTTCAGCTTTCTGAGGAAACATCAAACTGCCTTACATGGAAGGATTTTTAATAAACAAAAGCTATGCAAATAGTGCAAGACATTTATCCCTACCTTCCCTACAATGAAGGAAAAGGAGGGAAATATGAACGAGTTACAATATTTACTGTCTAATGGCAGGAAGTACATTTAATTAGAAAACTGATTAAATATTTTACTTCAATCTCTAAGGAAAGCTTAGACAAGGTAACTGATAAGTTGTGTTATGTTGTTGTTCTTATATGCCATCATTTTGACTATAACTCACAGCAATTTGATGAACAAAGGCTCTAAACTCTGCCCTGTCTGGAGCCAACTTCACCATGTTTAACACACCTAATTCCATTGTTACACACACTGTGCCAATTCATCTCATCAGTGTTTCACCATTCTTGCCTCCAAGGAGCACCTGTAGTTTCACTTTCTCCAAGACAGATCTGTCTGTTCTCTTAGTGGTCCATGGGATATTCAATATTCTTTTTCAGCATTATAACTCAAAGGCATTAATTATTCTTTTGTCATCCTTAGTCATTGTCCAGCTTTCCGATTCATAGCAAACAATGGAGAAGACCATGGCTTGGATCAGGAGCACTTTTGTCTTTAGATTGACCTTGTTTCTCTTTATCGCTCTGGAGAGGTCCTTGAGAGTAGATTTCCCCAACACGTCTTTTGATTTCCTGACTGCTGGTGACAAGGGTGTTTTGTGGATCCAAGTAAGATGAAATTGTTAACAACTTCAATCCTTTCTCCATTTCCCATGATAAATAATAGACTCGACAATGATGTTCATATACAGGTAGCTTAAAATCTTGAGCAAAGTCATGATTATAGTAAAGGTTAGGTAAAGTAAATAGTAAGGTACTTACTGGAAGTATTACATGTAACTCATGCATTTTCCTTCTTTTACTCTTTCCTTTTCTCTTCCTCCCCTTCTTCTCTCTTTCTTGTCTTTTATGTTAATGAAATGATTTGATATTGAAGTTCTAATTTACATACCTGGAAATCTGGCTTAATACAAGGAAGAATACAGCCTTAATAAATAGTTGTTACATTCCTTACATGAATACTACTCCATATGGAATTGTTTAAGCTATGAATATTTAAAAACCAATAATTTTTTTAAAAGTCAGCTCTTCTCCCTCTCCATTCACATACAGATCTGTTTGCTTTGCTCCCAAACAGTAAGTATATAGATTTGATATGAGTTGAGATGTATTTCACAGCAATATGTTTAGATTTAGTCAACAATTAATGAAGGAAATTTCTGAGCCACATCAATCATAAGGAGGCTGTCCTTCTCCTTGTGTAGTGTAGGAATTACACTACCACATGTGCCAGCAGAGCTGTGTTGCTATAAAATGAGATGGGATGGGGGTGCAACCCTTTTTGTGTTTTGCCTACAGTTGGATGTACTTGTTGTTAATTTTATATTTGTTTTAGAAAGCAAGCAAGTTAAAAATTCAATTTTTTCCCCTTTCCCCCCAAGCCTAACCCTATACAATTCTAATTTTTGCTACAGGGTGGAAAAGAACATGAGAACTAAGAATCCAAGCAAGGATTCTTAAGGAGAGGAAAACACTGAGTCAGAAAATTTCATGAATTGAGGTGCTATTCATGGTGATAAATAAGAGAGACAGCAGTTGGGCACTCTGTCTGATGGCAAGTCTTTTTATTTTTTTTAAAAAATAGCATTCTGTATTTTCTCAGTATAAAGAGAATAAATTCTAAATTAGAAGTAAAGACCTGGAAGCAAAGAAGTAGATCAGTGAGGGATGAGGAGAACTGAGATAGTTATTACTGTTAGGTATCACCAAGTT